CTTTATTCTTAATTGCTTCTTCATATGTCTCCGGCTCTTTAACACCGTCTTCTAAAATGTCCGCATTAGCATACTTGGGATTAGGCTTTCGGATTCTTTCCGTCCTTCGAAGTTGTGGAGGCGGCGGCTCCCTTTCACCGGCATCACTTGTTTGAGAGACTTCTTGCTCAATGACATCAGTGTCGCTCGGATCATCAGGTGTATCAACACTTGACCAAATATGTGCAGTTTGCTCCCCCATCTTTTGTTTTAAAACTTCTTCAATATTTTCCGAGTCTGGTAGTACTTTCTTCTCTGAGGACCACCATGAAGATGCTTCATCGAACACCACATCTCTTGAAGTGTAGCATCTTCCACTTGTTGGATCACAACATCTCCACCCTTTTCTTTGATTGTCGTATCCAACAAATATACACCTGACTGCTTTCTTGTCAAACTTGCTACGTAAATGACTAGGCACAAATACGTAGCAAACGCAGCCAAATACTCGGAAGTAGCTAACAGTAGGTTTCATGTTCCATAGTGTCTCAAATGGTGAAATGAAACCTAACCTTGGTTGGGGAAGTTTATTGATCACATGGGCAGCAGTTTGCATTGCTTCAGCCCAAAATCTTCCTGGGACATTCTTCGCGTGTAGCATGCTTCGACAAATTTCTGCAAGATGTCGATTCTTTCTCTCAGCTACACCATTTTGTTGAGGTGTGTTGGCACATGTGAATTGATGACGTATACCACATTCTTTTAGATAGCGATTGAATTCTTCTGAGGTGTATTCTCCTCCATTGTCTGAGCGTAGACACTGAATCTTCTTTCTCACTTCTCCTTCGACCGTTGTCTTGAATTCTAGAAACTTTGAGAATGTTTCAGATTTTTCTTTCATGAAGAAAACCCACACATATCTGAGGTGTATTCTTTTAGATAGTTTCCCTTTCAAACCAGTATAGCTAAGATGGAGTGATCGTAGAGAAGAGGAGATATTAAGATAAGTAGGTAAAACACAACGTATCTGAACTCCAGGAATCAAGAGCTCTCTCAAATGAGTAGAATTTCGCAGCAGACTCATCAAAACGTAAGGTTGCATTTGCAATCTATAATTATAAGAGACATCAAGAGAAACCAATCTAGGAAGAACTAAGATTTCCCTAGAAATTTGGCCAGCGTTGAGATGTGTGAGACTATTAGAAAAGTCATGTGGAAGTTGGGAATCAGTAAGATCATTGAAAGCAAGGTTGAGTGTTTGGAGATGAGGAAGGCGAAAGAGGGTGGAGTTAGGGTGGATGGTACCTTGTAGCATACCACAACTCAAGTCGACACCGATAACATCACCCGTGAAGTGGTTGCAAGTCACACCATTCCACTTACAACAGTCCGTATTCTTGTTCCAGTTCATCATAATTGGATAGTAATCAGAACCAAGCCAGTATTCACATTGGGTATAATCGTATGAAAATTTGATGGGTGAAAGGTTTTGTTTAAAGAGAAGTAAATCAAGGGCTTGTTGAGGAGAGCATTTGTGAGTGTCATTGAAAGAAGAGGAAGAAGAAACAGGGATGAGGAAAAAGAAAAAGGAAAAGAAGAGATGCATCGTTGAATTACTCATCCTCTTTAATTTGTTATAAACTTTTACACATACGCATATATATATATATATATATATATATATATATATATATATATATATATATTCATGGTTATACTACAATTATTTGCTTGGAGTTGTTAATCAGAGAGCTTAAGGTCTAGTCAACATCCAATAGTTTGTGGTCTAATTCTTTTTCTAAATATAAGGTATGAGTTGTTCAGGTCTTCTGAATGGGGTCCTCAATATTTATAATTCTCTCTAATTGTGAAAAATCTCCAACTTCTAGTTAACTTATCGATAATACATCAGTTGACGAAACTTCTTCCAGAAGAAGTTAATTAGGAATTAAGTCTTTACATATATAATAATACTTTTATTTTGATTTTTAGGCTTCCCTCAGTTTTTATTTTAATAGGTGAGATTTTTAGTTATACATTCGGATAAACTTTTCTGGTAAACCAATCTGCACAAGTCATAAGTACATTTACTTCTGAATGGCCAACCGAATTAGGCTATACAAGTTATTTGTGAATTGTAAAATTATACTATTGAACACGACTCTTTTATATGGGAAACAACAAGACTTTTATTATGACACTTAAGAAGAACTTACACTTTGTGAGACTACTACACACTTTGCTTTCTTTGAGGCTTTCTTGGATGGTTTGGAGCAAATGAGCTCCATACCTATTTATAGGCCTCTTAGGAAGATTCTAGATACTAGCATACACTTACTACATACTAGATAACTCTAGAACATACTCTACATCCTTCCATATGTTTCTAGAACATTCTACCATGTTCTGGAGAGGTCTAGGTTGCTCCAGTGTCTTCTAGAATGATCCATATCCTTCCAGGGTCTTCCATGTCGTTCTAGAGTATTCTAGACTCTTCCGGTATATTCCAGAGTCTTCCATAGTCTTCCATAGTCTTCCATAATGTTCTAGAATCTTCTAGAGCATTCTAGAACAAGCTAAAGTCTTCTAAATAATATTTGTTTTATTGGGCTAGTGATGATCTTTAACATACCTCCGTTTTTTTTTTTGTTCGCAACTCCATAGGAGTAGCACTCCTTGATTACCATGTTTTAGTTCTTTATTTCTCCTAATATGTTTTTTAATTTTAGTTTTGAGATGTTTTAATAGCTTACTTGAGCCCCTAAGTTGTTTGATTTGCGGCTTAATGGGTTTGTAGCTCATCAGATTATAGCATGTTTTGAATTATATTTGGATTCCAAATGGGGACAAAAATTATGAAGATACTAGATGGAGAGGAAAATCTGGAGCAAAATCTATAGATAATAAAAGGGAGAGAGATGATAGATTGAACATATTTTGGCTCTTTGGCATTTAGCATTTGGCATGTGGTAGGCCTTCAAATAAATTATGTTATCTAATTGTGTAAAATTTTCAACTCCTATATATCAGAAGAGCATGCATAAATGCACACAGGTAACATGTAAAAAAGTGATGCATAGTTCAAATGTAGAGGCACACATTTAATAAGGTGTAAAAACAATTTTCTATATTTTTTTAGGGCCAAAAATGTTTCAGATTTGGAGGAGAAGGTACCTACAGAGTTTCTGCAACAAGTTCTTATCTGTTTTCTGATTCAATTTTGCATGTGAATGAATGATATTACTTTGTAGCAATGGTCTTGGTCCACGAAAATATAAACTTATGAACAAGAAAAATAAAATGTATATGCATCATGTTGATTGAAGTGGCATGACATATATACATAATACATGGATGCCACAAAATCATAACTTCTTAAGCAAGAGTCAAAAACATGTGCAACATAATTGGTCTTAAACATGCTCATAAATTGTCTTCCAAGGTCAACATAAGACAAGCAAGTAACACATAATGTATGCCCCTAAAGTGATGATGATGGTTTAGGGCAAGAACTGAAGTAACCTGGTAGGATAAAACTAAATTGAAGTTACAATTTTTGATCTTTTGAAGTCAAACCTATTGACACCGAATCACAATATGTTCGATAACAAAATTCACACTGCGTGGATATAAATTTAAAGGTTTAATCTGTCAATTTTCCAACGTTGAGTCGTGGCTCAAGTGAGATCGATTGATCTACTGAGGAACCAACACTAGTTGGAGAAACACAATTTCAAAATTGATTCATAGATTCTTATATTTGACCATAGGAAAAGGAATGTTTGACACAAGTCAAAGCGAACATAACAAGATTAATATAATTTCAAGGATTTAGTCACGCATTTGGGAAAAAATCAACCAGAAATTGACGTTAATTGAGGGAACTTACTGAAGGCAACCAACCCTGTATATAATTAATATAATTAATATAATAAAAATAATAAAAAATAAAAATAGTTAAAAATAGAATATTTTCACTAACACACATTACACAATTCATTTCCATTTCTCTGTTGAAAAAAATCAACAAACCATTTCTCTGAGTTAGAATATTTTTCTAAATTTTTCACTAGCACAAAACTAATTAGAACTTAATAACAAATATTATTTAATATAGATAATGTAATATATTATTTTAAAGGATATGTACTCTTTATTACCTTGTCGAAACTAACAATTCAACTCATTAATGGTTATGACTTATGCGTTCAATGTCCACCTATATAGATAGTTATACTTATCACTAAAGACTTCCATTAAGTTCTTAATAAACTCAGCTCAACAACACATCTATTCACTTAAATAACTAGGGAGATCATTAAAAGAACAATGTAATTGGTTTGAAGTGAAACGGATCTGCCAAGCATGAGTTATAGAAAAAACATGAAATCTTGACTAATTACTACACAAGCAGTGATGGGAAGTACACGAGCAGTAGTAAGCCCACAATCTGGTTCTTTCAATTATTAAGGCAATATACTTTGGTCCAAATGCTCCCAAACTTTCCATAACTGATAACTCTTCCAAATGATATCAATGATGTAATAAGTCTTACAACTTATTTTATGCTCAATTACATCACACTGAAGTCTGAACTATGACTTAATGATCACTAGAGATCTTGATGTTTCACACGTTGAATAACACACTTTTTAATCCAAAATTTGGTGCCAATTGGCTGAGGGGCGCCTTACCAAAAGTCCTAATACGCTAGGCCATAGGCGCTTTGAATCAAATCCTATAAGTACTATTATTATCACTTAATATATAAAACCTTTAATACATCTCTAAGAAATATAATCCTAATTGTAAATTCAACATAAAACCAAACAAACTTCATATACAACATGATCTTGGCACTTACAGATCAACAACTACAAAATATAAAAGTTCTAGGTGCTCCGATGGGTTTGGTTGCCTATATCTAGAAAATTGGATAAAGAAAAAAAGTAAACCATTTGGCAAATTCTCAAAAAATAGACAAACATGTAAAATAGATACCAATCACAAGATATAATTTTTTATTCATTTGGATGCCCACACTTTTTGGGTAAAGGAAGACCACAGAGCTCCGGATTCCCTCCAAATGAATTGCCAAATTTACCGAATTGCGTTCCTGATGGAATCCGTCCCATAAGATGGTTTTGCGAGAGGTTTAAGAATCTAAGAAATTTCAATTCTGCAAGGCTTCCAGGGATCTCTCCATTGAGTTTGTTCCAAGATAGATCTAAGGATTCAATCTCCGAGAGATTCCCTAAAACAAAGGGAATTCGACCTGTGAGGCTATTGTGGGATAGGTCAAGCACCATAAGTGAAGTAAGGTAACCGATTACACTCGGAATCTCCCCATCAAATTTGTTGTTCGATAGATCCAAAATTACATAATCAACCAAAATTTGTGGAATCGCTTGCTCCAAGCCTTTCACCACACTGACAGAGTAATAATTTCCACCCACTGGCAAAGATTTTGGTTTTGTGCTATTCATTACCGTGTTCTTCATGGCATTGAAATTTTGTAAATACTCTCGTGGAAGATGGCCTACAAATTCATTATGAGATAAGTCCAGAACTCTCATGCTTGGAAATGCACTTTTAATTGTTGACGAGGTTTCAATAACACCATGTAACTTATTTGATTTAAGGGAAAGAACTTGCAGCATTTGGAGATCGCCTAACCAATCCGGGAATGTGTCATTTAATTGGTTGTTCCCCAGATCTAAAACCTTCAAGTATTGGCATTTGGACAAGGAACGTGGGATTTCTCCTTGTAATTGATTTCCATTGAAAATAAGCCCCTCTAATTGTCCACACTCTTCATACACATTTGGAATAGTGCCATGGAAATGATTGTTGCCCATATCTACCATCAAAAGAGAGGAGATGATATTTCCCAAGCATTGTGGAATCACTCCACCAAAATTATTATCAGACATATCCAGAAATGTTAGAGCGCTGAGGTTGCAAATTAATGGAGGGAAGAATCCTTGAATCAGATTGGACTTGAGATTCAAATACTCGAGAGAAAAGCTGATATTTCCCAAGCATTGTGGAATCACACCACTAAAGCTATTATTGGATATATCCAGAGAAATTAGATTTATCAGGTTGCAAATTGATAGAGGGAATGGTCCTTGAATCTGGTTGGACTGCAGATACAGAAAATTTATTCCATCTTGTTGAAATTGTGGCAAGCTTGTTATGGAGTTATATGAGAGATCCAAATAATCCAACAAATCTCCTCCGATCTCCCCTGCCCAATGAGGAATGTGGCCATGTATGCTATTATTTGATAAATCTAAAAATGAAAGACTTTTCATGGCTCGTAAGGACTCTGGAAACAAATTTAATTTGCAAGATGCCAAACCTAAGAATGAAAATTCAGGGTTGACATAGCTGGAAGAATTGTCGGAGACAACAGATAAGCCACTATCAGATAGCATAAGCAATTGAAGGTTTCGTAGGCTTGATAGCAATACTTCAAGTTCCCACAAACCTGTGAAATTATTTGATGAAAGGCCAAGGTGAGTGAGGTTGATGAGTTGGATGATTGATGGTGATGTGGAGCCTCCATTAATCTCCCCTTCCAACTGATTGTTGTCAAGGGATAATCTCTTTAATGATCGACACTTGAACAGCTCTAATGACAATCCTCCACTAAACATGTTATTACCAAGATAAAGGTTTTCTAGCAATGGAAGAGTAAACAATAAAGGAGGCAACGTTCCTTTAAGCATGTTACCTTCTACATTAAGAGTAGTAAGATTCCTAAGGTTAACAAGGGATTTAGGAAGGGACCCCACTAAACCACATGAAGAGAGACCCAGGTGGTTCAAAGATATGAGATGACCAATCGAGTCAGGTATCTCTCCTGATAAGCTGGTGAAGGAGAGATGTAACCACTTGAGAGGGACGTTAATGCTCATGTTGACTTTGGGTATTGGACCAGTGACAAACGAATTGCCTCTCAAGTGAAGTTTCTCTAAATATTGAAGATTCAAGATGTTATCAGGTAACTTCCCTTGCAAACCAGTGTAGCTAAGATCGAGTGATTTTAGAGAAGAAGTGAGATCAAGATAAGTGGGTAAAACCCAACCTAAAATATTAAGTTCGGAAATCAAGAGCTCTCTCAAATGAGTATAATTTCGCAGTATACTCTTCAAAACATAAGGTTGCATTTGCAATCCGTTATTCCCAGAGAGATCAAGAGAGACCAAATTAGGAGGAAATGAGATTTCCGAAGAGATTTCACCTGTAAACCTACATCGAGAGATGTTGAGATGTGTGAGACTATTAGAAAAGTCACGTGGGAGTTGGGAATCAGTAAGAACATTGTAAGCAAGGTTGAGTGTTTGGAGATGAGGAAGGCGAAAGAGGGAGGTGTTAGGATGGAGGGTACCTTGTAGCATTCCACAACTCAAGTCGATGCTTATAACATCACCCGTGTAGTGATTACAAGTGACACCATTCCACTTGCAACAATCTGTATTCTTATTCCAGTTCATCATAATTGGATAATAATAATCAGACCCAAGCCAATCTTGGCATGGGGAATAATATGGGGGGTAACCGAATGAGAAATTGATGGAGGAAAGGTTTTGTTTAAAGAGAAGCAAATCAAGGGTCTGTTGAGGAGAGCATTTGTGAGTGGTGGCATTGAAAGAAGAGGAAGAAGCAACAAAGATGAGGAAAAAGAAAGGGAAGAAGAAGACAACCACCTTTGAATTACTCATCCTCTTTAATCTGCTATAAACATTTGAACATGCTCAAGTATATATACTTAATTCTAGTATAAAAAGTATATGTTTGGAGGTGCTATCCGACACCTTCGAATAGCTATTATTGTCTTTATTGAGATTTGAACTTGAGATAACTAATTTTTGAGTGTACATAGAGAATTACCAAAATATCCCTAACTATAATTAAATGATTCTATGATAATATGATACCTCAGTCATACGTAAATCATATTATTAAGGTTTTTAGATGTCTAATCTAATCTAAAGCAATCTTCTGAGTGAATTCAACAAACACTTACCTAGCTATTTCCAAGTAATTCAACAAGCTCTTATCTGTTTTGTGATCCAATGGTGCATATGAAGTGAAGACTTGAGTTGTCTCTTTCTTGAAATTAAATACGGTGTGTAGGCCCTTGATTACATCTAGTCTTCTTGCAACTTGTGCATAAAGTTGAAATTCCAGTTTTATGTGCTGTAAACAATACTATTTGATGAAGTCTTTCACTCAAGTTGGCTGGGATTTTAAGTCCTTGTGGAATTTGGGGGTTATCCATGACTCTGAATTGGAGAATGGGGGGTCTTTAGTGATTACTTAATGCTGTATGCTTATTTTGACTTTTCAACACTATATATACATACAAAATTATAGCGTCTTAAAGAAACCCAAAAACATTATTTTAGGACAGCAAATGTTCAAAAACTCACTCAATTAAGTACATACATAATTCGAATCTGGATTGAGTTCACATACTTTACTTTTTAAGGCGTTGTGTTTGCGTCATACATAAATGAAAAGTTGAATGTTTGAGATAAGCCATGTATTCTTGGAGCATTATAATTACGTTTAAAAGTTTAGGTTTTAAAGAAAAACATATGAATCCCAACTTACCATTTCGTTCATCCATAAAATTTGTTACTTTTATTATTGGTCATTGCGGGAAAAAAAAATAACATCTTTTTAAAATGTATTTATGTATCCATTCACAACTATCAACAGATACTAATTTGTAGCAATGGTTTTGGTCAAAATGTTTTTTTTTATTGGATAGGATAGGACCCTCGACTTTAATTTTCTTATTACGTTGTGCTTCCAATTTTGACTCGTGTATAAAAAACAAGAGGATCAAGTTTTTTTTTTTTTTTTAACTGTTTGTTTGTGTGCTGATTGGGTCCGGTCAAGGTTTTTCTCTGACCCCGGTCCGGTCGTTTGATAAGTGTGAAAATCGTTGACTCGGTCAATTATGCCTGACTCGGTAATGAGGGAAAGAGATGCTGACTGGGTCAATTCCACAATTATACCCTTCGTGTATCACAAACGACGGCAGTCTCCTTCTTCGTCATCTATTATTCCAGGCGTCGTCTCCTCCCACCTCCGCCCATCGCCGGCTCCGTTTCTTCCTGCATCACCATCGCTTCCTTCTACATTGTGGCTTGTTCTTCGTTTATGCTCCTAATCGAATTACATATGTAAAAGGTATTGCCTCTGAATTGATTGCTCTTGGTGTTGTTTCTTTCGTTTCCTCCATCTTGTTCCTGAATCCTGATCGAATTTGAAAACACAGTCCCATATTCTCTTGTTCCTGAATCCTGATCGAATTTGAATCCAGGCCGCCACATCCATATCCCAACATCACCACTTTCCATGTAAACCAACTCTCATCTTCATCTCCATCATCACCATCAGTAACTTCAAGTTGTGGGGAACGTGAATGCTCCAATGCTAAAGTAAATTGGAGTACTTTGTTCATATGAATGCTTCCAATATCAGCAAAACCGTATAATGAATGATCAGTAAATAAAACTTTATAACCCATTGTTCGTGCATGCATTAGAGCTTCATGACAAAGAGTTAAAAAAGCTTGATGACCATGGACTAATGAGATCTTTTCACGAATGATAATTGTTCTCACAAATGGAGATTTCCCGATTAAGATTCAACAACAATAAATCAATCAAAATAGCAAAAGTGTATACTCAACTGCTATTAATTAAGATTCTACATCCATTAAAACATGTTCACCCACCTACCAACTAACTTAAGTAATAAACATATACAAAATAATCCAAATTCCAAAAACACAAAAAAGGAACATAACTAAGAACACATAAATTTCTCTATGAAAAAAAAAAAAAGAATAAGGTGTTTACTTCCCAATAAATATGTATCTTCTTCTTATTTTGTTTTTCCTTGTCTGGATCATATGCTCTGCTGCATCGAATATTGCATTTAACCACTTTGGTTTTCTGGTTGACAACATCACATATGCTATAACAAATCCAGGTAGGGTGCCACATCCATATCCCAACATCACCACTTTCCATGTAAACCCACTCTCATCTTCATCTACATCACCATCAGTAACTTCAAGTTGTGGGGAACGTGAATGCTCACAATGCTTGTTCAACGGAAACCCACACAATCCCAAATTCCCTTCAAAAGACCTCCCTTCAAACGTGTTGAATTGTGTTCCTTGTGGAATACGGCCTACAAGATGATTTTGTGAGAGGTCTAACACTGCAAGATTATTGATGTCTGCAAGACTTTGAGGGATCTCTCCTGTAAGTTTGTTCCATGATAGATCCAAAGATTCAATCTCCAAGAGACTACCCAGAGTATGTGGGATTCCACCATTGAGGTTGTTATGGGATAAGTTGAGCACTATAAGTGAGTTAAGAGTGCCAACGATGTCAGGAATCTCTCCTTCAAATTTGTTACTGGATAGATCAAGAATTGTGTAGTCAACCAAAAGCTGTGGAAATGGAAGTTGATGACCTTTCACCCCAACTACTATAGAGTAATATTTTCCATTGAATTCGAAATATTCTGGTGTCGAGCCCATCCTTATCGCATCCTTCATGGCATTGAAATATTGAAAATATTTCTCAGGGAGATGTCCTGCAAACTGGTTATGAGATATGTCAAGAACTCGCAGAAGTGAAAATGGGAGTTTAATTGTTGAAGATGTTTGAATCGGACCATGAAAATTGTTTGATTTAAGAACAAGAACCTGCAGCCCTGGAAGGTCTCCTAACCAGCCAGGAAATGTGCCATACAACCGGTTGTTTCCCAAATCAAGTATTTCCAAATCTCTACATTTGGATAAAAAAATGGGAACCTCTCCATCAAACTGATTTCCATTCAAAATAAGCCACTTTAATTGTGGATTATATGCGCACACATTTGGAATGGTTCCATTAAAAAGATTGGTCCCCAAATGTATCATCCCAAGAGAGCTCATATTTCCAAAGCATTGTGGAATCACTCCATCAAATCTATTATTGGACATATCAAGATATTCTAGATTTCTCATGTTGCAAATTGATGGAGGGAATGGTCCTTGAATCTTGTTGGATTTGATGGACATTTGAGTTACTCCACCCCATTCAAACTGTGGCAAGCTTGTAATAGAGTTATTTGAGAGATCCACAGCAATCAACCGATTTCCTCCTATCTCCCCTACCCAATCAGGTATGTCACCCCGTATGTTGTTGCCATATAATAATAAATATTGAAGATTTTTCATAGCTCGTAAGGACTCTGGAAACACATTTAGGTTGCAAGATGCCAAATTTAAAAACCAGAAATTAGGGTTGACATAGGTAGGGGAATCGTCGCTGTGAATAGTTAAGCCACTATAGGAGAGATCGAGTCCTGTAAGGTTTGGTAGGCTTGATAACAAGGTTTCGAAATTCCATACACCTCTGAAATTATTCGATTGAAGGTCAAGGAGACTGAGGTAGATGAGTTGGATGAATAACAAAGGAGTGGAGGCTTGATTAATCTCGCCATCTAATTGGTTCGCTCGAAGGATTAACTGTTTTAATGACCGACACTTGAACAACTCTGATGGTAAGCCTCCACTAAACAAGTTAAAACCAAGAACAACGTCTTCTATTAAGGGAAGAGTAAACAACGAAGAAGGCAACGTTCCATTAAGCATGTTACCTTCTACATTAAGAGTGGTAAGATGTGTAAGGTTAAATAAGGATTTGGGAAACGCCCCCAGCAAACTACAAGAAGAAAGATCTAAATATTTCAAGGACGTGAGATGTCCGATTGAGTCTAATGTATCTCCTGATAAATTGGTGGATGAGAGACCCAAATACTTTAGAGGGATGTTAATGCTCTTGTTAACATTGGGCAATGGACCAGTAAGGTACCAATTGTTTGCCAAGTCAAGTTTTTCCAAATATGGAAGATTGAAGATGTTATCAGGTAATTTCCCTTGCAAACCAGTCCAACTAAGATCTAGTGATTTTAGAGAAGAAGAGATATTAAGAGAAGTGGGTAAAACCCAACCTATATCAACATGAGCCATGACAACCTCTCTCAAATGAGTGGAATTTCGCAACAGATTCCTTAAAACATACGGATTCATTTTCAATCCATTGTTTGAAGAGAGATCAAGAGAAACCAATTTAGGAAGGAACAAGATTTCCTCAGGAATATCGCCGACAAGCCCACATGAAGAGATGTTTAGATGTGTGAGACTATTGGAAAACCTACCAATTTCAGGTGGAAATTGGGAGGAAGTGAAATCATTGTAAGCAAGGTTTAGTTTCTGGAGATGAGGAAGATTAAAGAGGGAGGTGTTAGGGTGGATGATACCTTGTAGCATCCCACAACTGAGGTCTATACCAATAACATCACCAGTGAAGTGGTTGCATGTGATACCATCCCACGTGCAACAATCAGTATTCATGCTCCAGTTCATCATAATTGGATGATAATCAGAACCAAGCAAACGACGACATGCCAAATCATCTGGGGCATGCATTGAAGAAAGGTTTTGTTTAAAGAGAAGCAACTCAAGGGTCTGCTGATGAGAGCATTTGGGAGTGGTATTGAAAGAAGAAGAAGAAGAAGAAGAAGCAAAACAGATAAAGGGAAAGAAAAGAAAAAGGAAAAATGAGAGAAGCAACTTTGAATTACTCATTTTTATAGAATTTTTAAGAACTTTTACACTTGCTACAAATAGATATGGTATTTTGATCGAATAGGTTGAAAAAAAAAAACATTTTATAATGTTATGCTTGCACCTTACTTGCATGAAATGCTAGCGATAAACCAATAATTATTGTCAATCAGTAGCAAAGAGGTTGGATGCGATTAATTAATTGTTTGTATTATCATGTATGGGATTTTTTTTTTCAAAATGGTTGACTATGATGGACATTATTTATATGTATCGATTGTGTCGTAGTAGTCAAATTATTGTGTTGTAGCTTGTTTTGTTATCCAGCAATAAATGTGATCCAGATTCTAGAAATAGGGATGGGTGTACAGTATTATAGCTGGGGGAGAGATGCCCCTAATTAATGTGGCCCCACTTATAGATTTTATTTTTAAAAAAAAATATTTTGTCAACTTATCTATCAATATTTCCCTGATGTTTATATTCATTGACTAACATATTAATAATATAGGCTGCAGGCTGCGTTGCAGGCTGCGTTGATCTTGTTTAAAATCTGTATAGATAGATTTATAATGTATATATGTATAAGTCATCTTAGAAAAAATGATGCTCATCCAGGGTGTTTTGCAGGTTCTTGATTGTGCTCTGTGTAGCTTATTTCTCACTTGTCTTTTTTGGCTGTTTAACTCTTGTACAAGTACATGTACTTTATTGCGTTATTAGTTCATCCCATCAACAATATTAATTGTGTTGCTAATTCTGTCTAAACATCATATCATTGTTGTAATTCCAAGTCCAAATCAAGTTTAGTAGTTATGTGCTGTTGGTTGATGTTAGATTATAATAATATAAGTTAATAATATAGGGTGTAGAGTGTAAATGCATCTATTATATATTCATGTCATATGTATGTGATCAATATACATAATAAAATTATCAAGTTTTAATTGGTATTAGAGTCGGTGTCTCGTACCCCGTGACTTAGTACATCTCTGTCTATCCTTATCGAGCATCTGATTCTGAGAGTGAGTGTTAGTGTATCCCACATCGGTGTGACACAGTGGCTATACATGTTAGAGACCCTATTCTCTCTACAAGGTTCTTTTGAAAAGACAATCTTGGGCTCCATATATGTGTACATGGTATCAACTACTACAACCACAGCTACAACCAGAAAAGAAGCCACAGTTTCTGAAGTTGTCAATCCTGATTATGCAATTTGGATCCTGAATCCTCATTCCAACATGTTCAGGGTGTTACATCTCGTGAGCTCTGGTTTTCTCTTCAGCGAGCCTATGCTCCACACTCTTCAGATCACGACTACATGGTACACAAATCAGCACCCGAAGTCCCACCTGTTCAAGCATTAACAACAGCCTCAACCAGCCGCAACACAACAACAACATCCTTTGCTTCCCTATCATCAAATTAATTATAGAATTTACAGAAACTCTTTTCACAACTTAGCCTTCAAATTGAATCAACAAACAATAATTCTACTCAAGCATTATGGAAACACTCATGGCCAAGGACAATCAAACTGTCGTGGTCGAGGGAATTACAACCGTACACAAGGTGACTTCCACATTAGAAATTAGAAGGGAGATAACCGAAACCAATTTTCTTGGGCTTCTAATCAGAACATTGTTTATGGAACTTGTTACAGGTGTGGCATAGGTCACATTCTTTCCCAATGTTCAAACTATGATCCAAAAACATTCCAAAGGCCACCACCTTCAACCAACTATACAGATCACACCTCCCAAGCGTCTACCTCATGGATGACCGACACAGGATCTAGTTAGCATCTTATACATGACTTACATAGCTTTAACAAAACCGAGCCCTATTATGGTGAAGACAATCTCCATGTTGGCAACGGTAAAGGTCTACCCATCGTTCATGTTGGTTCCTCAAAACTTTACTCACCTAACAATTTTTTCTCTTTAAAACATATCCTTCATGTTCCTGATATAAAACACAATCTTCTTTATGTTCAAAAAATTTATCTTAATTGACAACCATGTTTATTTTGAATTTCATGCTTCTTCTTTTTTTACTGTCAAGGACTCAGCTATCCACACTATCCTCATCACTGGTCCAAGTAGTCGTAGGATTTACTCAGTCTGCCTACCTCTTATTCAACTAATTCCTAATATTGTGTTTTATGTTGTTCGTGCTTCCTCCCAGATCTGGTATCATGTAACGACCCAAAAATCAAGGGTAAAAATTTCATTTTTCAATTCAGTCAAAACACATATATCTTTTAAATCCAAGCTTTCCAAAATCTTTGCTAACTAAAAACATTTATCAAAGTTCATCCCAAAATCAAATATTACGGAAAACATGGGTATGTGCGTTGCGATCAAGCCAGACCCTTCTTTTTTAAACTAATGATACATGAAACCACAAACAAAACTGTAAGCACGAAGCTTAGTGAGTTCCCCAGAGCATAATCCACATAACTGCATAAACCATATCAATCACATAAGCAATATAATCCATGCATATGATGGCGTGGAAACCCTCCAGGGTCTTACACATAATCACATAAACCGTATCAACTACAGTACTACATAAGTCGTGCATATAACATATAGGGATCCCCTAGAAACCCTCTAGGGTCTTACTCCGGGTGCCCTAGAAACCCTACAGGGTCTTAGCCCACTGTCATGGGAACCCCCACATGATCTTCACTAACTACCAATCAAAACATACATATAAACATAAAAGTTAGACAAGCAAACATATAAGGATGCCTTGGAAACACTCTAAGGTCTTACATTGGGTGCCATGGAAACCCCCACATGGTCATAGCCCAATGTCATGGGAACCCCCACATGGTCTTAACTAAGGATGCCATGGAAACCCTCCAAGGTCTTAAACCCTAGTGCCTCAAGAACCCCCTGAGGTCTTTACTTAGGATGCCTTGGAAACCCTCTAAGATCTTACTCCTTAGTTCATCAGGAACCCCCCGAGGTCTTTACCTAGGATGCCATGGAAACCTTCCAAGGTCTTATACCTAAGTGCCCCGGGAACCCTCCGAAGTCTTCCATGCAAGTATCACAAAGACAACTAGCATATCACATACCACAAAGATAACTAGCATGTCACATAACTAAAAGGATATGTCAAACAAGCCATATAGGCCATACATGAAATCATATAAGGATGTCATGGAAACCCTCCAAGGTCTTACACCCAACTACCTCGGGACCCCCCGGGGTCTTTCATACGAGTACTATAACGACTGCTAGCATATCACATATCTCATAAACAACTAGCATATAATGTATCACATAAAAACTAGCATAGCACATAACACATAATGGGTCGGCCTTGGTGCCTTCGATCCATTAGTATGGTGAGGAGACTCACTTCACACTCTCTGAAGTCCCGCAGATAAACTCTAGCTGCTAATTGACAGATTTCCAAACTGTCAACATCAAAATAACACCTAATTAATAATTGGGTTTCAATACATAACCATAAGTCCATGCTTGGGGTAAAAAGACTATTTTACCCTTAACCTAACTTGGTCCAAAACCAAGGTCCAAACACACACTCTAAAGGCCCAAAAGTATTCAATAAACCAAGGCCCAACATATAGCCCAACTTTCCAAATTGGGCCCAAACCTCTACATTAACTTATTTTAAGGCCCACCCATGTATTCTAGTCCAAACACTTGGCATTCTGATGGTCCAATATCTCATAATTATCAATGCTCAATTATGGCCCAAATTTCCAAATTGGAACCAAGCCTTTCCAATGGGCCTTATCTTAAAGCCTAATAATTTCCTTAGTTCATAAAATTGTTCCCATTTGGCCCATGAAGGCCAAGCACAACCCAATCCAAGAAATGGCCCAACAAGAACCCAAACCCAATTAGGGTTTTTCACATAAAATGACGATCAGAGTTAAGTGTTCCTACTTAACCCATTAAGGACATAATCCATTAAGTCCACCACTCCACTAGTCCAAACATACAATGTGGCTGAGTGTAATTCAAAATTCCAAATCCAACGGTCCAAGCGATCCCGACTAATCCAAAATACATGTTTAAAAAAATAGGGTTTTCTAAACCCTAGTTAGGGTTTCCAACCCAATCGTGATCCAATTAGTCGAATGGTTAGGTTTTTAGGTCAATCAGGGATAAATAAGTCAGGCATCACCCACTACCACCTCGGGTAATGGTGGTCAATAGCGGCTCACGGTGGCGGCCACCACCTCGTGGTGGTGGTGGTGGTTATGATTTTTTGCTAAAAATGTCTAAGCATCCCAAAATAACAATCACAAACACAAAAGCACACAGCCACCCAAGGTGGCGGCTGGTGGCGACAGAATGGCGGCGTGAGGTGGCAACCACCACCTCACGGCGGTGACGAGTTGTTTTCCTTGTATAGTCCGACCATATAATATACATATAATATTATACACCAACACACACCTAGATACACAGTAAATCACGAACACAGCCACCTTCCACGGCGGTTGGTGGCGACGGAAGATGGCAGCAGGCGGCGGCCACCATGGCTAGCAGCCATGGTGGTTCTTTCCTCGATTTCTGGCCAACAACACTCACACATACACTGCTCAATCGTAGCAGCAACCCATATCAACATATTCTAAAACAAAATGAGCACAGCCACCCACTTGGTGGCGTGCAGTGGATGACAGCAACAACGACTCTAACAGTCGACGCTAGCGGCGGCGAACTGAGGTAGCACCAACGAACGATGATGAAACAGAAGGAGAAGGGTGGGCGACTCCCACCGGGAATGGCAACAACAGCACCCGTAGATGGCTTGTTCTGATCATCCACTACCATGACGTGTCATGATAGCCTTGGTCGTCAACAGCA